GTCTACAGCTTACAACCTAATAGTTTAGAGCCAGATACAGTTTTTTTCCCCCATCTGTGCAATTGTCCACAGGATGTTAACTACCAAAGAGTATCAGGATAGCAAGTAATGCCATCACTATATCTACCCAAACTACACTGAACAAGATGGAACATATGAGATAATAACAACATTTATACAATACTTGATAATTTGCAAGGTCCTTTATATGTATCTTCTCTTGAGTGTGACAACTCTGTGAGATCATAATTACAGATGTTACCTTCATTTTATGGATGAGGAAACCGAGGTGAAGTGCCACAGCTAGTGAGTGTTAGGGGTGGGACTGGAGCTCAGGGATCCCAGAGCACTGTCCAGAATGTCAAGCTGCCTCTAATGAAATCATGAACCCATTAAAATGTGATGGTCAATGTAATGCTTAGCCCGTTGAATCCTCATGCTTTCATGATGGGGGAAAAATCAACCCTTTCATCGCTCTTTAAATTAAAATGCTTGTTTTTTATTGAGGGAGAGATGATGGGGAAGGGAGGGCGTGTAAAGTCAAACTATTAACATTTCAAGTTTGAGCAGATAGGTTTTTTTCTTGTATTAAAGTTCTCAGGGATGTTTACATCTTTAAAAACAGCCCACAACTTGCACATTTCAGAGCTGGCATTGTTATTTGAAGGTCTTTTGGCAGTGTGACCATCCTGAAACACTAGCAGATGTTGCTTTCCTTATCCTGGACTGACCCGACGGGTCCTCGGCAATGGTTCATTTTCACGGTGGCTTTAGGTCTCTGAGATTTTTTTCATTCTCCCTTTAGGGTAAGGCATGTAACAAGAGCAAAGTTCCGACTTTTCTTTTTCTTTCTTTCTCTCTTTCTTCTCTCCTCCTTCCATTCTTTCTTTCTTTTCCTTCTTTCTTTCTTTCTTTCTTTCTTTCTTTCTTTCTTTCTTTCTTTCTTTCTTCTTCTCTCTCTCTCTCTCTCTCTCTTTCTTTCTTTCTTTACTCCTTCCTTCCTTTCTTTCTCTTTTTCTCTTACTTTCTCTTTCTTTTTCTTTATTTACCTCCAGTTCTTTCTCTTTCTTTCTTTTTTCTTTCCTCTATCCATCCACCCTTTCTCTTTTCTTTTCCTTTCTTTCTTCTTTCCTTTCTTTCTTCCTTTCTTGCTCACTCTATCTCTTGCCTTCTCTCTTTCTTTCTCTTTCACTCTCTTTTTCTTTCTCTATTTACCTCTTACACCCTCTTTTTCTTTTTTCTCTTTTCTTCCTTTTTCTTTTTCTCTTTTTATTTACCTCTTTCATTCTTTTTCTTTCTTTTTCTTTTTTCTTCTTTCCTTCTTCTCTGCCTCTGTTCTTTTCTTTTTCTCTTTCTTTTTTCTCTTTGTTTTTTCTCTTTTCTTTCTTTTTCTCTGTCTTTGTTTTTCTGTCTCTATTTACCTCTTTTTCATTCTCTTTCTTTATCTCCCTCTTCCTTCTCTCTCTTTTATTTTTCTTTCCTTCTCCCTTCCTCTGCCCTTTCTGTCTTCTTTTCTTTCTCTCTCTCTCTTTCTTTTTTCTATTTTCTTTCTATTTCTTTCTCTCTTTCTTTCCCCTCCTCCCTCCTCTCCTTCTCTCCTTCCTTCCTTCCTTCCTTCCTTCTCCTTCCTTCCTTCTTCCTTCCTTCCTTCCTTCCTTTCCTTCCTTCTTTCTTCTTTCTTTCTTTCTTTCTTCTCTTTCTTCTTCTTTCTCTTTCCTTCCTCCTTCCTTCCTTCCTTCCTTCTCTTCCTTCCTTCCTTCCTCCTCCCTTCCCCTCCCTCTCCTCCCTCTCTCTCCCTCCTCCTCCCTTTCTTCTTTCTTTCTTTCTTCTTCTTTCTTTCTTTCTTTCTTCTTCTTCTTTCTTTCTTTCTTCTTTCTTTCTTTTCTTTCTTTCTTTCTTTCTTTCTTTCTTTCTTTCTTTCTCCTGAATCCACTTCTTTGCTTCTGTGGGGGTGGGGGAGGGAAGGAGCTTGCTGCTGAACCCAGGAGAACCCTATCTTGTTGAATGCCAAAAGGAAAATGGCCCCAGTGCCTTTCTCCCTGGGCATTAAGAAAGGTGCTGACAGATGTCAATTTCAATGTTGTCATTAGCCTGCTTCTTAAACACCACCTGATGTCCCTGGGTCAGCTCTTTTCTTTCAGCCTTTTCTCATTACACTTCAGATCTGGTTTTTGAATAAACTTTTGAAGAAACCTGAGAGCTAGCTTAGAAATCCAAGGAGAAGAGAACTTAAAATCAATGAAACTATTAAATGCCAATTTGACCTTCCTCCTTGTGCCAGGAGGCCAATAGATATGATAGTGAAATGTTAAGCATTTTTCTGTGATGTAAGATACAGCGTAACTTTTTTTAAAGTCACTATTTATGCCAACCACAGTTGCACATCTGTCTAGCCCTCTCTACCACTGACTTTCATAAAATCCTAAATTCAGTTTTTACCCTAAAAATAACAACGTCAGAAATGTCTAGAAGTGTTGACTTACCTTAAAGAATGATTCAAAAACCCCATTAGCCTGTAACACATGATACTTCTTTCTTTTTCTTTCTTTCTTTAATTTAATTTTAATTTTATTTTTTTGCTATGAGCTTATGTCCAAATGGGAAAGACATATCATGTGATCAAAGGAATGAACACAAGATACTCCCCCCTGCCCCATTCTTACATATTGTAGCAATGATGAATTCACTGACAGGGAGCACAAAGAAATACTGGGGTCAGAGCTATATTTTGGATTAAATCAGACTGTAGGCAGCAAATAAGAAGCTTTTAGACGTGCCCTACTGTCTTCCAGACTCAGAGCCCCAAGAAAAATATTCATTGTTACATTTATCAAATTCTTTTTTAACAGTACTGGGACGCGAGGTAAGGAGCATGGCGCAGTGGGTAGAAGGCAAAGTCTATATAGTAAGGAAGTCTTGGGTCCAAGTCCTACTGCTTCCTGACTCATAGTGGCTCAGGGACCACTGGCACATTACTCATCCAGTCAGCATCCCCAGGCAACTTTCTGAGATGATAAATTACAGATGAGTTGCTAATCTGCATCAGCTGAGGGACCTTTCGCACCGGGAGCTCTGTCCTGATGAAAGCACAAGTCTAGATTAAAAAACAAAATGAAACCATAAATAAAAAACAAACTGAGACAAGTACTTTTTGCTGACATACATCTAAATGCTCTGCCTCTCTCTCAGGAGAATGACATATACAACTGGCCCATTCTTAACAACTATAAGATGATCTGTGTGTGGATTAGAAAACATCAGGGCAAAGGAAAAGTTTTTTCACAATGAAAGGAGAATGTTTTGCACCACCCCTTCTACCCTAAGACATCCTAAATGGGGAATGGTTGGAGCAGGAGAGAGGACTAGTCTATCTTAACTTCTTTAAAAATATATATGTATAGGGGGCAGCTAGGCGGTGCAGTGGATAGAGCACAAGCCCTGAATTCAGGAGGACCTGAGTTCAAATCTAGTCTCAGACACATGACACTTACTAGCTGTGTGACCCTGGGCAAGTCACTTAACCCCAATTGCCTCGCTAAAAAGCAAAAAAAAAAAATTAAAAAAATGTATATGTATAAACTTATTTTAAAAATATATAGTATAAATGAATATTCTATTTTATTATCTTTTATATATAATTATCTATTGTAATTACATATAAAAGATATTATAATATATACTATATTATGTATTAATAGATTATTAATAGATTATATTATGTATGTATTATATGACTTATGTTATATTTAATTTTAGTATATAATATAAAATTTATAAATATAGTGATTATATATGAAAGATATACTATAGCATATGTTCTATATTAATGTATTATATGTAATATATAATAGTGTGGCATACATTAGCAATATACTATATTACATTGTATATGTTATATGTTCAATATATATTTAATATATATTTTAATATATAACATAAATTTTATAAATATATATTCTATCTTTTGCTTTTATATGACCTTCATTTCCAAATATACCCCACACTCTCCTTATCCACTCAATGTGTTATTCTTTGTAAAAAAAAAAAAAGACCAAAAAAGAAAGGGGGGGGGTAGGATTCTGTTTAGCAAAACAGACAGAACAGTCAGGTCTGACAGTACATGAAATGTTGCCCACCCATAGTTCCTCATCTCAGCAAAGAGAAGAGGGAGATACATTTTCCATCTCTTCCCCTTGGGGTCAAGCATGATCATTTTAACTATACAACATTCAATGTTGTTGCGGTTACTTCCACATGTACATTGTGGTAGTTATTGCTCTCTTGAGTTCCATATGAATCTTCTTTGACACCACGTTTTTGAGGCACAAGTGGCCATTGTACAAGGCATTTCCTGAAGCCACACCATGGTAAGGATGAGATTAAATGGGCATGGTTACATTGTCCAAACAGGAGCTTAAAAGCTGACGGTCCATCTTGTGAAGAAATACTTCCCAACAATGAAAGCCATCCCTGATTGGAATAGGCTGCTTCTGGGGTGGTGAGTTCCCCATTACTGGAGCTCTTCCAGCAGAGACTAGCTGACAACTTGTTGAATATATCATAATGAGGCTTCTTTTGCAGGTACGGGTTAGACTGTATTATCTCTGAGCTCCCTTCTCAACTCTGAAATTCTGTGATTCTTTCTCTCATTTGAGGGAGAACCTATAACTAGCTTCATGTTGTATACAAAGTGGAGGATGGAGCAAATTCTTCATTAGATAAATATAATAAGAACAGAAATAATAATAGCTCATATTTATTTAATGCTTTAAGACTTACAAAGCATTTTACAGATAATATCTCGTTAGACCCTCACAACAACCCTTTGAGGTAGATGCTGTTATTATCCCTACTTTACAGATGAGAAAACTGAGACTGAGAAAAATTAAGTGATTTACCCTCTGACACTTAGCTAATAAATGTCTGAGGCAGGATTTTAACTCGAGTCTTCCTGACTCCAGGTCAGAATGAAGGCTTTAACTCTGTGCTTCTTCCTACAGGAAGGCTCTGGGATCCTCATGTAGTCGCTCTGATACATGGGAAAGACACTGGTTTTGCCTGCTAGCCGTGCTGACCAATTCTCTTCATATTTATATTGACTGTCGCTTTAAGAAGGAAGGCAAGAAGGCTTGATTTGGACAGAGCTGTAAAGCAGACTGATGTCGGTAAGACCTGATAGTACATGAAACATGAGCATTGGTGTTGTGGGAATGGTCTTTCATTTAGTATTGGAAGGGGGGACCAGTAGCAACCAGGACAGCAAGAATGGCATGTAAGTCATCCTGTTCTCACATAATTTTGATTTCCTCAGTCAGAACTATATATTTGGGAAGCTTTTCATTCCAAATGACTTGGAGATTATGAGTATTTGGATGGTGACATACATCAAAAATGTAGTTCTTATATTCTGGTGAATCGATGTTATATCCAGGATGTTGGGGGTAATGGTTTAACGGTCTATGGTAACGGGCCAGCCAGCCAGTCAGTCAACAAGCATTTGTTAAATGCTTTGTTGTTGTTCAGTCACATCCAGTTGTTTGTGACCTCATTAGGAGTTTTCTTGGTAGAGATGCTAGAGCTGGAGCTCTTCAGCTCATTTTACAGATGAGGAAACCGAGGCCAACAGGGATAAGTGACTTACCCAGAGTCACACAGTGTGTACGTGTCTAAGGTCTGATTTGAACTCAGGAAGAGGAGTCATCTTAACTCCAGGCCTGACACTTTATGTGTCACTTAGCTGCCCCGATAGTGCTTACTCTCTGTCTCAGTCCAGTTCATTTTATCTAGGATATTTTGAGGTCTGTATTAGCAGGATGGGGATTTCTCATTTTGCAATCTAGGAAAGAGAGCTCTACTATTTCATTTTAGCCACCAGACTATGATTTGCTAGATATTTGATAGGTGCTACATGTATATAGCTTGAAGTCATGTGTTTCACTGTCTCCATAATTTCCTTGTATGATCTACATTGAGCACTGAGTCTGGGCTCCTAAGGACATGTAACTTCCAGTGGCAACATTTTGGTCCTGAATTGCCATCCTAAATTCCTATGAGTCTACAAATAAATCAGCATGACTCAATGATCTGTTGGGTGCTTTTCTGTCGATACATTTTTTCTTGGTAGAGTTTGGCCAATGTTGTCCACGTAGAGTCTTTTGATGCCATTCTTGTGTCTTAATTATTTCATTAGTTTTATCCAGATATAGGCCATTTTTATTACATTTGACAAGCCTAATTGCCTGTACCTGTTAATTGGTGAAGACATCAGCTTATTCCAAAAATATGTCTGTAGATTTTTTTATCTACTTATCATATACTTTAAAACTGTACAAGCTGATGCAGATTGAACTGAGCAGAACTAGGAGAATAATTTATACTTTAACATTGCTATTGTACAACTGAATAATTTTAAAGACTTGAGAACTCAGATCAATGCAATAATAAACTTTAATTCCAGATGACTGATGATGAAAAATGCCGCCCCTCATGACGTAGAGGTGATGGGATAATACGCAAAATGAAACACACATTTTTTGGATATGGCCAAGATAAAATTTCTTTTGTCTGACTGTGCATGTGTTGCAAGGATTTTGTGTTTTTGTTTTCTTTTTAGTGAGGGAGGTGAAATTCTTGATGATTTAAAAAATCAATTGACGAAAAAGAAACAGGCAATTCCTACCCTTTAAATATGTATATTAATCCTCTTTTTCCTTTTTGGCACATAAGTGCTAAGCTTTCTATAGCTACCTCAGGGTGATGGTGGGATGGAGAGAACAGAGAAAAAGCATTCACATAATGGCTACTAGATGCTAGGCATTAGGCTAAGTACTTGAAAAATATTTGATCCTGACAACAGTCCTGGGGTGCTGGCACTAATTATTATCCCCATTTTACAATTAAGGAGACCAAGGCAAGCAGGATTAAGTAACTTGCCCACGATGACCCAGCTGATAAGTGTCTGAGGCTGGATTTGAACTCAGGTCTTCCTGACTCCAGGCCCAATGTTCTATTCACTTCATCATCAGCTGCCTCCAATAAACTGCTTTGTTAATATTGTAAAAGTCTTTGTAAGTACACTGTTCAAATCCTCTTCCTCCTCCTCCTTCTTTCCTTCTTCCTCCTCCTCCTCCAAATGCTTACATACATACTTATCTCTTTACATGTTCTTTCCCCCATCAATGAAATGCAAACTATCTCTGTGTCCCCAGGGCCAAGCATAGTTCCTAGTCCGTGGTAGATGCTTAATAAATTAATCCAATTGGATTGTTTGAACTGAGAGCAGCAGAGAACTGCTCCAAAGAGAGGAAGCTCATTCTTCACAAAGGTTTTCACAGCTTCAGACAAGTTGTTTCATCAAGATGACTGTACCAGGGGATCTGCCCTTGGAAGGTGGTGTATCTGAGACGTCTGGGCAAAGCTCCACTTCTTTCTTTGTGTGAAAGCTGGCAGAAGGTCTCTATCACAGACAAATGGCCGGCTCTTCTGGCTGCTGGATTTTCTATGTGACCAAACTATTTGAGTCAATCAATCAGTCAACGAGCATTTATTAAGTGCTTACTATGTACCAGACACTTAGCTAAACACCGGGGATACAGGGACAGAAATGAAACTGCCCTTGCCGTCACTGAGCTTACATTCTAATTCTACCCTCTCACACTCACATTTTGTCTTGCATTTTATTCCTTGCCAGGGGTGGCCAAGGCAGTGTCGAGTTCAGAAAAAGAGCCAGACAGCAGCAGTCAATGAACATTCAAGCTAATCTCAGTCCTTCCACTAATTTGCTCTGTGACGATGAAGTCACTTGAGCCTCTTGCATGAGCGATGTACTGCCCTGGGAAGGGTGCCAGGTTTAATGCTGAAGGACGTGGGTTTGCATCCCAGTCTTCCTTCTTACTAGCTGTGTGACCCTGGGAAAGTTTCTCCTTCTCTCTGGGCCACTGTTTCCTCAGCTGTAAAAAGAGGATTGGACCAGACAGTCACCCCCCTCCCCCCCCGCCCAGATCTACATCTGTGGTTCTAGATCTGTAGTTTATCGATAAAATTGGGTTCTACCCACTCTGTTTATCTTGTAGACTTATTGGGACCCTATATAACTAGGTGTACATTTACTAGCTGTGTGATTGTGGACAAGTCACTTAATCCTGTTTGCCTCAGTTTCCTCATCTGTAAAATGAGCTGGAAAAGGAAATGGCAAACCACTCCAATATCTCTGCCAAGAAAATCCTAAATAGAGTCATGGAGAGTCAGCCACAGCTGAAAAGACTGAACAAAACCAACATAACTAGGTAGAAATATTTTTAAGCACTAGACAAATATAAAGTATTATTATTATTATTATTATTAACTTCTCCCTGTCAATGAAGGAGGAATGTTAATTGGTTTTCATTCTTTTCTGCCCAACTGTTACTGCAGTGGATAGAATAGTAGACCTGGAGTCAGGAAGAAATGGGTTCAAATCCTGCCTCAGAGACTTAGTAGCTTACTACCCTAACCTGTCTCAGCTTCAGTTTCATCATCTTTAATTTCGAGGTATAGCTAGTATGATATAATGGAGAGAGTGATGGCCTTGGAGTTAGGAAGACTTGAGTTCAAATCCTGCCTCAGATTCTCTACCAGCTCGTGACCCTGGACGAGTCATTCCATTACTCTTAGATTCATCTCCCTTAGCTTAATTGAGGTATGGTAGAGTAGACAGGCATCAAACTCAAACAGAAACAGATTCCTGGGGACTGCATACCGACTCAGAAAACCACAAATTGATATTTTCTATGCTTTATTGTACTTTTATTGATTTTGTTAAATATTGACCAATTACATCTTAATCTGGTTTGCCCCCGATCAGAGAGTTACAGACTGCAGGCCTGCAGGTGGGCTGGTGTTTTATAGCTTACATATAGTAGAGTTCTGGGCCTGGGGAATCAAGATCCAGGTTCAAATCCTGCCTCAGACACTTACTTGCTGTGTGACTTTGGATAAGTTAGTTAACCTCTCTGGGCCTTAGCAGCTTCATCTCTAAGGTGGGAATGCTGGATTGGATGACCTCTAAGGTTCCTTCTATCTTGGGTGCTCTGATTCTTTTCCAGTGCTTGAACAGTGCAGGTACAAATGGTCATCAGCACTGATGCTGCCTCAGGAAATTTTGAGCAGATCCATAGAATAATGCCCAAGTCAACGCAGCCCTGTTTAATATTAATAGCGAACATGCGTTTAAGCACTTTCTGGTTTACAAAGGGTTTTCCATAGACAGTCTCATTTGGTTCTCACCATGGCTCTGTAATGTAGGTACCTCAGGTATGGTTTTACAAATGAGGAAACAGAGGCTGGGAGAAGCTTTGACTTATCCAAGGTCACACGGATTGTTAGCGTGAGACCCAGATCTGGGCTGACTCCATTGCTCTTTTTACTTACAAGTCAGGCAAGGCAGAACAGCTGAGGCAAGACCTCACAGGCCAGTGAGACGAAACCATCACCACTGCCTTGGCAACGCCTCCCCTCAGAGCCTGGTGGATGTTCACTTCGTTTTTGACTTCTGGGATCCCTCTCTATTGTATTTACTTTGTATAAGTAACAACAAGGATGAACTGATCTTTATGGGCAACCCCACAGGACATGTTAGGGGTTGCCTTTCTTGGGTCCAGTTGACTACAATGGGGCTTTGGGATCAGCTTCTGGCCATCCCCAAACTGTTTTGCTCCCATATCCCATTCAGTAAAAAAAGTTTGAGAGCACCCGTTTTTGTGTGTATTTGCTTATTTATCAATTAAATACATCTATGGCTCTCCTAATAATTATGTACATTATGAACACACAAAAAATAAATTTTAAATGATGAGATAAAATTGAAATGATATTTGATCATGAAGGTAATGGGGAGCCAATGAAGTTTAGTAAGGGAAGGAATAACATGATCAGTCCTACCCTTTAGGAAAATCACTTTGGCAGCTTTGTGGAAGATGGATTGGAGTGAGGAGAGATTTGGGGCAGGGGGACTGGCCAGCAGGCTATTGCAATTGTCCGGGGCTGAGGTGATCAGGGCCTGCACCAGGGTTAACAGGCTAGGAGTGGAGATTTGTGAAAGATTTGGAGATAGAAATGGCAAGATCCGGCAGCTGATTAGAAAGGCGGATGTGGGGGAGGGTAATAGTGAGGAGTCAGAGATGACCCCAAGGGGGTCAAAACAATAGGGAAGAGGATTTGTGTAGAAATCTAATGTCATGAAACACATGATCTGTCCTGACCCACTCACTGCTCCCTCTGGGTGAATTATTCTCTCCCACAATGAAAAGACAACGATGATGGGGATGAGTGTCACAGCCCCAAGGGGATCCTGGGAGCAGGGGAGGGGGGCAGAACTTCCCAATGGCACAGATGCAGCATCTATGGGTAACCATTAGTTTAGGCTTTAACTTCCCTAAGGGTTGACACTAGTTCAGAAGAGGAAACAATGGCAGTTTGCCCAGGGAGGGAGAGGACAGAGCAGGGACACATTGAGGGCTGAGGGATGGTGTAGTTATGTCGGAGATGAATCCCAGAATTATCTATTACAGAATGAATGGGTCGTGAGTGCACACTCATTGGTGTTAGGACACGGCGCCCTCTCACCCATTTCCACTACAGGTTGATGCCAGCCCCTACCTGGGAAAACCACAGAGTTAGATCTAGGAGACTTCCTCCTGAGCCTCAGTTTCCCATTTTTAAATTGGGGCTGGTAATTTAGGCATTCCCCAATACCACTGCATCGCTGTAAAGAAAGAGTTTTATGTGCTGCAAAGCTGTATGCTATGTGAGCTGGTATTGTTATGGACAGGTAGACCAGATACAGAGATGAGCGTGAAACCAGAGAGAGCCAAGTTCAAAATCTACCTCCAACACTTACTTGCTGTGTGATTTTGAGTAGGTCTCTCAACCTCTCTGATCCTGTTTCTTCTGTCGAATTAATCAACAAGCATCTATTGGGTACCTCCTAGATGCCAGGCACTGTACTAGTGCTGGGGTTAAGAAGACAAAATTGAAAATAGTCCCTATTTTCAAGCAGTTTACATTATATTGGGGAGAATAATGGTAATCAGTGATAGGAATAGAAAAGGTGAGGAGAATAATACCTTTCATGCCTACTTCCAGGGGTCATTGGCAGCTTCTAATGAGATACTCTTATGGAGCAGAATACTATTTTTCTATTCTGTGTAATAGAATACTCTACATAATAGCACTGCAAGTGATGTTAAGTGTTGGTTATTATCATGGGAAGCACTCTGGTTTGGGAAAGCTAAATGTGGAAGGCGTCTCTGCTGTTTACAGCTTGGCGGCAATAAACTTATATAACATGTTTTTGACTCATGTTAGATTCATGCCCAGATCACCTAAGATGGAGGCACTCCCCCAGGAGACCCAAGGAGTGGCTTGCGTGAGGACAGTACATGGGCACCGTTCTCCTTTGGCCTACCTTGGAGTTGGGAGCAGCCTCTCCATTGGCTGTGTAGCTGGACCTGGCTGGTGTCTTTAAATTGACCTGGCAGGGACCAGTTCTCTCTCTTTCCTATGGCGTCCAGACTCATTCACTTGAAGCAGGGGCATCAGACAGTAAGCTAGAGGGAAATTTAGGAAAGGGCTTGGGGTTTGGGCCAGGCTTTGTTTTGTTCTTTTTAGTTCTAGGTTTGGGGAGAAGAGTCCCTGACACAGGAGCTTGGGCCACGAGGACCTTGGAACCTAGGATTCCTGGCCAGATGTTGCAGCCAGCCCAGCAGGGAAGACTTAGGAAGTCAGGGTTCCAGGATGCAAGCTCAGAGGGCCTAAAGCACCTAATGTTACACAGAGACTGAGTTAATCTGTGAGCCTAATTCCCCTCCCCAGGCAACAGAAGATATATAGTGGAGATTATGCCCCCCAAATATTGTACATTTAGTCTTGCTATATCTTTGAAGTAAATATTCCTTAGTAAAAGCTAATCTGACTATAAGTGGTTAAATGTTCTTGGGGTGACTTGACCCCTAAAATTGAAATACAATTGATTGAAGCTTGAGCCAGCAGCAAAGAGGAGATGCCCCCAAATGCCTGACAGTACCAGAAAACCCTAGGAGAGGAGTGGAAATGTAACACATCTGGCCTTCAGGTCCCCCAGTGGGGGCCAGAGCAATCACTGTTATACTCATATTCAGTTTGAATGCATCACTCACAGAGTAAGCTAAGCCATGGATGGCTTGAGATCTGGGTGGAAGGTGAGAATGTCCCCACTAAGGGAAATCACTGATCCTTGAAGTATTTGTCATGTCACGCTAGACTAGCACAGAAGACTGCAGAAGCACTAGGAGAGTTTTAGCTTTGCCCTTATTCAGATAAAATATGTTTGACATAATTAGTATACCATACTGAGCTTGCATTAAGAATTTGCTTAGAAATTTATAGCATAGCTTGGTTCTAAGAGAGGGAGCCTGGAGGTGCAGGGGAAGAGTCAGTCAAACAGATCTGCAGCACCCATCCCAAGCTACATTCAGGCTCATCTGGTTGCTTGCTGCAAAGAAAGATGCACCTCCTAGCACCAACTGAGAAGTGGAAAAGTTTCACAAATTCCATTATGGAGTGTGAAATTAATTTCTCTTTATCGGCGGTGTGTCAATAAGTACAGAAATGTTCCAGCTAAACAAAAACAAACAGAGTGAGATAGCATCAGGAGCTGGTATCTGCCAGGACCTACCTGCCTCGTTGGATTCCTGGCACTGGCAGCCTCCCCTTGCCACCCACACCTCAATGCAATCCCAAAGAGCATAAAAAGACAAGGAGAGTTGGGAATTTGGAAGGACCTTAGAACTCATCTGGTCCAGCCTCCTCCTTCTATAGATAAGAACGCTGAGGTTCAAAGAGGTTAAATGAGCAGTCCAAATCACATAGTCACTTAGTGGCAGAGCCGAGAGAGGGCAAAATAGGGCAGTTAGATGGTGCAATGGATAGAGTGTCCGGCCTGCACTCGGGAAGACCTGAATTCAAATCCAGCCTCAGACACTTACTAGACGTGTTACCTTGGGCAAGTCACTTCACCCTGTTTGCCTCAGTTTCCTCAACTGTAAAATGAGTTGGAGAAGGAAATGGCCAACCACTCCAGTGTCTTTGCCAAGAATACCCCAAATGGGATCACAAAGAGTACTTAACCACCACAGAGCCAAAATAGGAGTCCAGGTCTTCTGGCTGTGGATCCATGCTCTGTCCCCTAGGCCACTTAAGTAGGTAGGTATTAGTGACTTCCCAGCTCAGGCTACCTTCCATGTATTCTTTATATCTTGTGTGTACCTAATTACTGACATATTGTCTCCTCCATTAGAACATCATCTCCTTGAGGGAAAGTACTTTATCTCTGCCCTTTTTTGTCTCTTCACTGTTTAGTACACAGTTCTGCACTATTGTTTTTCAGTCATTTCAGTCATGTCCAGCACTTCATGACCCCATTTGGGGTTTTCTTGGCAGAGATACTGAACTGGTTTGCCATTTCCTTCACCTCTGCAGATGATTCCTTCCCCCTTAGCCACTCACTATTTAGAGTCCATTGTGTTTCCTTGAATGTTATAGTAGGGAGAGAGGATAGAAAGGGGAGGTCCCAGTGTGGAAACATCCTCCATCACCACATGTTATAACCCATCTATGACAGTAAATAAGAACATAGGATCATAGATCTAGGACTGCAGAGAACCTCAGAGGTCTGTAGAGCAACCCTCTCATTTCCCAAGTACAGAAACTGAAGGCAGAAAGATTAACCAATCTAATCAATGTCGCACTGGAAGTATAGCTAGGTTTCAATGAGTGCAAATAATAAATTCCTTGAAGTGGTCATATTATTTGAATTTGCACTGCATCTTTCCATTAGGTTAAAACTGATTACCATATTTTACATAATTATAACTTCAAATAGTAAAAATTTGACCACTTTACCCATTCATTATTCTCTGCAATCGGGACATAGCTGTAAAACAGCAGAGCTGAGATTTAAGCAAAGATTTTCATCGTCTCTCAATGCCTCCTAGGGGACTTCATGTTCCCCCTAAATGAAGGGAGCGTTCCAGGGTCACACACCTAGGACGTGTGTGAGGTGGAATTGGAGTCTAGGCTGTCCTAACTTTTAAGGCCAGCACTCTATTACAATGCCTCTCTGTATTTTCTGAAATTTGTACTAAAAATTCCCAACAGCTCAGTGTTTGCAACTAGATGAATGCCTTCAGCTAAACCTAACCTTCATTCTCCTCCCTCCTCCCTTCCTTCCTCTTTGAGCTGGAATTAGGTTATTGTTTATCCACATCTGCAAACCCGAACCAAGTTTTCTAGCTGGCTGAACCTGATTTGCACACACAGAAAGGAAACATATCACCTTTAGGAATAGGGAAAAGGCATTTATTGTTAAAAATGTTTCCATCATCTTACAGCAGACCAGATGCTTCTGCTGTGTGGATTTTACAGGTGGAAGGAGCATGAAGGCAACAGTCCAAACCAGTGGGGGTCAAATCCAGAGAGGGGCATATTTCCTAAGCATTTCCTAAGGCCCCCAACCCATGCATCTCCTAGCTCTAGCTATGCCTCAGAAGTCGGACTGCTTGGCCATATGCTAGAAAGCTCCCAGTAAACAGCAAGCGCATGCATCCCTCCAGGTGGCAGGCAGTCATGTATTAGGAATGAAGTACTGCTTCTGTGATGTTGACATCTTTCCCCTCCCCCCCTTCTCTTTGAGCTGTCAGAGAGGCAGCATTAAGTGCCCGTTGACAAGGCTGCTGCTTTGATGAGGCTTTCCCCTTCAGGTGCTCCTCTCCTGCTCTCTCACCCACTCCTCCCCTACAAGGGGATCATCTTCTCTTTCATTAACTGATGCGAGTCTGTCTCTTTTTTTTCCTGCAGGGAGAAGACTCAGTGTAGAGTGGTGTTAGGGTGAAACTGACTAGTGTCTGTTTCCCCATCATCCCTCCCATTGCCTCTGATGACATTTACCTGTCAAGCAGCAGAACCCAGAGGATCCATAAACTCTCGTGTAGGAATGATGGAGGGAAGGCACAGGACGGCTTCCTTAAGCTGGGGGCAACTTCTGGCCACCAAAACTGTTTCAGAAATAAAGGGATGGTTTGTTGTGATGACTAGAACTTTCTGTTCTGTTCTTAAGGCATTTATCTAGCTCTGATGGAAGGCTATTTGAGGTAGATAAGGACCCCTGGACAAAGTAGAAGCCATTAGGCTTCCATATTCACTCTATTGGGTTTTTTTTTTCACCCAAATATACTTGACTTCATAAATATTTATGACTTCTCCCTTTCACTATTTACTCCATAGTGTGACCTAAACTCATTTTCATGAATTACTCTGACAATGATGACCAGGTAGCTATGATTTTTGTGGTCAGATGGTTTCTTTGGAATTTCTGGTTTGTCCCCATTGGATTGTACAACCAGTTACAGGAGACAGCATAGCATAGTAGCAGGAAAAACAAACAAACAAACAAATCTGATTCTGTTGTAAGAAAACCCAAGTTCAAATCCAACCTTTGACACTATCTGTGTGACCCTGGGAAAATTGTTTATCCTTTCAGGATGTTAGTTTTTTCATTTGTAACATGAGAGGTTTCAAATAGAAAGCCTCAAATAGAAAGAGGTCTCCTCCAATTCTAAATAACAACAGCTAACATTCATATAGCAATTAAAGGTTGGCAAAGTCCTTCGCCTATGTTGTCTCATTTGATCTTTAAAAGCATCCTATGAGATAAGTACTACTATTATCCCCATTTTACAGATGAGGAAACTGAGGATGATAAAGGTTACATGATTTACATAGGACCACACTGTTAGTAAATATCTGAGGCAGGATTTGAACTCTGGTCTTCCTGACTCCAAATCCAACATTCCTTCTACTATAGCACCTAGCTGCTCCTGTGGAGCCTCATTTTCTGCCTTTTTTTTTTTAAACTTACATTCTTTCCAGGTAAAGTTTTTTTAAATTTCGTAATTAAAATGCACAAGACCTACTTGTTCTATTCTTTACCCCTTTTTCTTCCCTGAACATCAAACCTTTCGTCAACATGACTTCAAGCCCAACAGCCATGCCCTGAAACTGCCATGTCATTGCCTCTCTCTGTATGTATGCCCAGGTGGTCCATCCTGCCTGGAATATGCTCCTTCCTCACCACTGCCTTCTGGAATCTTTATCTTTCTTCAAAGCTCAGTTGAGGTGCCACCTCTGTTCATCCCAGCTGTTAGCATTCTCTGCCTCTTAAAATTGCTTTATATTTACTCCTTTCCTTATATTCAATATTCCCCAAGAGGAGAGTTTTTTTTTTCTGTCAGTCAATCAAGAAACATTTATTAATTGCCCATTTTGTAATAATACAAAACCCAAAATGAAACAGTTCCTGCCCTCACAGAACTTGTATTCTATTTATCCTCCTTGAAGATAGGGACTATTTCCATTTCTTGGTCTTCGTAAACTCATAGCCTAGCACAATGTATCTGATTCGCTGTGACCCCATTTGGGGATTTCTTTGGCAAAGATACTGGAGTGGTTTACTATTTCCTTTTCCATCTCATTTGACAGATGGGGAAACTAAAACAAACAGAGTTAAGTGACTTGCCCAGGGTCACGCAGCAAGTAAGTGTCTGAAGCTGGATTTGAACTCAGCTCTTCCTGACTCGAGGCTCTGTGCTCTGTCTACTTGTGCCACCTAGCTGCCCCATTGTTTCCATATAATTGTTTGCATGTAATCTCTCCCATTAGACTGTGAGCTTCTGTAGTGCAGAGACTGTCTTTTACCTTTCTTTGTATCCCCAGCTTTTAGTACAGTGCCAAGTATACAGTGGGTGCTTAATAAGTGCTTACTGGCTGTGGATTGATGTTTTAAAGTACCTGGTAATTGATGCAGCAGCAGAGAGGAATCACCCTATTGGAAGCATCCTAGCCTCTGTCTTGGCGTATAATCTCTGCAGCAGGCCGTGACGATAATTTTGAGGAACCTCTCTGAAAGTGATGCTCAGGGCACTGTGCTTCCTTTGTATGCCAGTCTTATATTTCAATTGCTAACTTGGAAGATCTCTACCATTCTGGCCTTCTAGCTCCCAGTCTTCTCTCAAACTTGCCCCCTACCCTCAAGTTTCCCATTTGTGTTGACAGCACAACTATCTTCCCAGTCACTCAGGGTCTTAGCCTTAGAGGCGTCTTTGACCTTTGCTTCTCAACCAAGCCATCATTCTATCAGTTGCTGAATCTATCTTGCTTTTTCATCTATCTCAGTTTTTCTCATACCTGGCCCTTTCTGCCCATTTTCATGCTTTTCCAGCCCTCATCTAATCTTTCCTAGACTATTATAACTGCCTTCTATCTGCACCTTCTCCATCTAGTCTATTATCTCTCATCTACCCTCTGCTAGGCTGTTAAGTAATTTTCCTAATGTACAGCTGTAACCGTATTGCTCCTCTACTTACAACCCTTCAGTGCCTCCTCATTTTCATCTGAATAAAGTAGAAACTCTTGACTGGTCTTCAGGCCCCTCCAAGGTCTGACTCCAACTTTGTCTATTCAGCCTCATCTCATACAATCTCCTTTTACATCCTGCGTGCTCCAATCAAACTGGAGTATTCTCTCCATCCCCTGCTTTCATTCTGTTCTCTCACATTTCTTTGCTTTTATTCACTTTCCTCTATTCCTTCAATGAGGAAAAAAATAGAAGTTAAAAAAATAGCCAATGCATCAAATGATTCTTAGAGTAAATTCAAACAATTCCCCAGCTCTTCAAAGAAGAGAAGGAGGCATGTTTCCTTTTTTTTTTTTTTTAATCTCCTCTTTAGGGACAAGCTTGGTCATTATAATACAAAGTGTTAGATCTCTCTTTTTTTTTCTAAACCTCTAGAATAGGGGTGGGGAGGTGTGGCCCTTTGACTGAATACAAACTTCACTATGAAGTTTGTTTGTGATTCATAGTGATTCAGTCAAAGAGCTGCACTTGAGGACCTAGAAGGCTATATGTGGTCTCCAGGCCACAGGTTTCCCACATCTGATCTAGAAGAAATAATTTTCAATGGGAATTTGAATAATTACTCTTCTATATACCAAGCCTTGAAATACTTGAAAATGGCTATCATGTCTTCCCTGAATCTTCTTGTCTCCCATCTAAGCCCCATTCAATGAACAAACTTTTATGATATATAATAGGCTGACCAAACCTGCATGAAAAGAAAATTAGTCTTGCATGTCCTGTTTTGGTTTTGTTTAATTCTTATTGGTATCTTGTATTTTTTACACCACCTTCAGTTCCAGACATAATCCCTTACCCCATGAGAATCATGCCTTGTAACAAAGAATCAAAGAAAGAAGAGAAAAAAAGCAGTTCAGAAAAACTAACCAGCACCTTGACCAAATTTGACAGTATAAGCAATGTTTCACATCCATACACTCCCATTACTGCACAAAAAGGAAGGAAGGTGACTTTTTTTTCTTTTCTCTTCTTTGGGGCCAAGTTTGATTATTATAATTACACAGCATTCAGTCTGGGGTGATTTTTGTTATTCTCATCTTTTTCCATTGACATTGTTGCGGCCATTACATCCATGGTTTTCCTGGTTCTGATCACTTCACTTTGCATCAGTTCAAATATATCTTCCCATGCTTCTCTGCATTCTTCCTATTTGTGATTTCTTATGGTGTAATAAAATCCCATTACATTCATTGCAGATAATTTATTTACCTATTCTCCAATTAATTATGCATCTGCTTCATTTCCAGTTGTTTGTTACAACACAAAGTGCTGTTATGAATTTTTTGGTGTCTTACTCCCTCCCTCCCTTCTTCCTTCCTCTCTTTCCTCTCTGTTTCATTCCTCCCTTCTCTTCCTTCCTTTTCCTTCCCTCTTTCTTCCCTCTTTTTCTCTCTCTTTTTCTTTCCTTCCTTCCTTCCTTCCTTCCTTCCTTCCTTCCTTCCTTCCTTCCTTCCTTCCTTCCTTCCTTCCTTCCTTCCCTCCTTCCTTCCCCTTCCTTCCTTCCTTCCTTCCTTCCTTCCTTCCTTCCTTCTCCTTCCTTCCCTCCTTCCTTCCTTCTTCCTTCCTTCCTTCTTCTTCCTTCCTTCTTCCTTCCTTCCTTCCTTCCTTCCTTCCTTCCTTCCTTCCTTCCTTCCTTCCTTCCTTCCTCTTTCTCCTCCCTAACTAATCCAGACTGAAAGCTTAGCATCTGCTTGAAGGTGTGACCCCACCACTAATTAGCATGGACCTGTTTAATTTTTGCTGTAGGCAGATTTGACCCTCATTGGGCAACCGAACTGTACCCTGTTCCTGGAGGCTCACGATATTGGTGTAGCTAGACATAGTTTGGACACCCAATCAGCTTTAACCCCTGTTCCAGCCTCAGCCTCCATAGCAGCTGGGATTAAAGGTTTGTAGCACCACGCACAGCACTTTCTAAAGTTTCACAAACCATCCTTTCAATAACATGCTCCATATTTGACCAAGAATCAGTACCACTCTCTTCCCTTTCTTGAAAATTGGGACATTTTCCCCTTTCTAATCCTCTGTCATTCTCTATAATCGCTCAAAAATCACCAAAGGTGGCTCAGAATAGTATGTGCCAGGTCTTTAGGATGTAATTCATCAGGGCCTGGTGATATAAGCCTCTCCAGAGTAGCTCACGGCTCTCTTGCTATCTCCTCTCTGGCCAAAGATCATTCCCCTTGGCAAAGAAAACAGAAGCCAAATAAAAATAAATTTGTCAGCCTTCTCTTTGGGGCTTGATGTCATCGTTGTCACATGGCACCTGAGCACCCTCTGCCCTTCTATGATGAGTCCTTCTACCCCACCCCTGCCCCACAGTTTGGCTCAAACAAACAAAAAGCTCTTGTGTCAAAAAGCCAATGTGTCTGGTCCTGGGGGGTCTTGTCTCAGGAAAAAAAGGCAGCCGTATAAGACTTTATTGGCAGCTCCTTGTGGGCAGACCCCATTTTCAGTCTTACTTTTGAGTACTTGGGACCTCATATCTGTTAGGCCCTTAATAAATGTTTGTTGATTTATTGATGGGTATTAGATGGTATAGCCTATTGCTGAGGC